TTACATGGTTAATATGAATTAAAGAACGTTTTCTCTTATTCAATACTTATCCTAGGCAGAGAGTAACCATGGTCGGAAAGACCTTTGGGATGAGACTCGGCTATTTGGAATCTTATTAGACTAACGATAATTTTGCGCCATGTCACTTTAGCAATTACTACTCTTACACTTATAACTGAAATACTCTTTTTGTATACTGGCCAAGTTTCGGGAGTTCTGTTTTTTGTTCCTGCTGTTCACTTTTCTTTCTGACATCCTGTTTTCGGCTCGTCTTAGTAGACAGCCCTGTTCTCTATATCACTATGCATTTCTACGCCTCGATAACTACTATCATTTCTCTTTATTTATTGGGACAAACCCGAAAAATGGGAGAGATCAATTCCTTACAACAATGACATCGCTCCTGGAAAGGTAATCTCCGCCTAAGAGCACTAGTGGCTACATAATTACCTTCCTCTCTTATGTCATATTCGTTTCATTTTATCTTCTCCTGCCCATCACCTATTCATCACGTTCATTATATCATGTTCTCCTTAACGTCCCCAAATTTTCTCGAACTTAAGGGTCCCCAATAAGGTGTTTACATTTATATTTTCGGGTTAACTGACGCGTTGTGATAGCTGTTTTTCACAGTTGTAACTTCTCCTCTGGTACATTTACCTAACGTATAGAACACACGATTTTAATTATAAAACTTTTTTCCTCGAAAGTTACTCATTGAACCTAATTTTTACCTTTTTTTTTTTTCACTTTCTCGCCTTTCTCAACTTTTCTTCAAGAAGCCACGCCCCTCCTACTCATCACATCCCCGGTATAAGCCCCTGTAAGCATGACTCATGAGCAAGAGAAAGATCAACGATTAACAATGACAAGAATAAAATGATTTAGTCAATATGCTACAATAGATATATATAGATATATAATGACGCATACGTATACTATTTATAGTTATAGATACGAAGAATCGGATATCTTAAAATTATACAGACAAATATTTATCTCCAGATAGATATCGGACCAAGATAATATGCTCGGCAATTACTGGATCCAAAAACTGTTGGACTTTCTGTTGGGCCTCTATGCTGTATACCTGTGTGGGCTCCGTCGATCTATGCGACACGGAGAGTTCCTAATACGCAAATCTGGATCGATCTCTGTCAGGACTCGTCCAGAATGCACCTGAGCAGTTGCAAAATATTCATTTGGTTATCAATATACGCTCACGCGCAACAGGTTCTTGTAATGTAAGTCTAGGAATATAGTTGCTCCTGGCCAGCCCTTTTGGGAGGAATAAAACCGGGTGCCTGTACGTAATTATGCTTTAATCTTCAACTAGCGAGACTAAACTTAAGAGGTATCGTGCTAGTCTACGTATACGAGATGTTTGGAGTTCCACACTGGCGTGAGCGCGAGTGGAACCTATGCCTTCTCGCAATAAGAAGTTGCAACAAAAAGCACAAAATTCGAAGAATAGAGACTCATGGCCGGAGGCGGGGAGAACCGACTGAAGGAGATCGGTCGTAAGTGCACAACACAAACTACGCGACGATCTCTCACAACCCTGTATTTACCAAACAACGTGGTACCGTTCTCCGAGCGCTCACGAAGGGTCACCCGCACGACCTATAATGACTCCACTAGACTTCTCACGAACGTGCCTAGGAAGACTAATAATCAGAGGCCTTGTCCTCTCGATACATATTCATACATCCACACTATAAGACCAATACTACAGATTCCCTGCATAGCGAAAAAGTCAATCTTTTCAAACAGGATAGTATTGAGGGCACTTAGATTTTGGTACTAGATGGTGGTGCATCCTGTGCCTAAATGTCATATTTGAAATTTATTCCATTAGTCTAATTCCCTTGTATATAAATTGCGGGGCAATGAAGATAAAACGTGTCCTTGACTCTTTATGACGATTAAGCCCGCTGGGACTGCCTTGCGTCAATAGATATATACCTAACAATAAAATGGCAACCAGGGACTCCAGATTAGGACCTACAAAAATTAGCACCATCGCGAATACATTTTAACCTCATCGAAGGTTGGGTAATACATAATATGTGTTATTCCAACAACGGAACCTTAACGTGTGTCCATATTTCAATAAATTATGGAATTGAAGACATAACATATTGTCCTGGAGTCTGCATGTAACTCAGAAAACAGAGTTAAGGTCTTAAGGATCTTGATACAATTTCATTCTCGGGGTTGGTTCTGTGGAGGGGAGGGGGAGGGAAATCGGTGAATATTAATGGGATTGATGAGATAAATGAAGAAGGGATAGATGTTGGACCGTATTGTAAGGTATTACCACGATCATAAGAACTTACATCAGAAGCACCAATCCTGAATTACATTAAATAGTATGTGTAATTGAATTGCAAAATTCAAAATTTTGGTTTGGAATATTCCTGGCAACAACAATTATTTTTTTCTCGTTCTGCAACTGACGTGATATCCTAATAACCTCAAAAATAGGTTGAAGCTCGGACGGCACGAGATTAGCTTTCTAACTAAGAAGTTATATCTCACCTGACTTTAACTTTAAAGCTGCTCCTCGCTCGGGATTCAAAAAGATAGATCCTTTCTCCGATATTCGGAGGTAATTATCAACAGAGCAACCTCTTAACCAATTCTTCGTAGTGTCATCTCTTTGCATCAGTCTTTAATTATCCTTGCCGGAAATTGGGTTCGCTACTTCTTCTGGGAAACTCTTACGGGATTAGATCGTGAGCGTCATTATTGATACGTATAAAAATCTAATATTGTTTTCTTAATTTTCAGACAATGATCTTATTGAGAATGTTAATTTTGTTTTATTTAATTCGATCTAATAATTATACTATCTCGAAATTTTTATTTTTTGCTGCGGAAGGAACTCGAGTACGTCCAGATTTTATCGTGTCACTTAAGTCACTTGGGAGAGTGACTATGAATTTAGGAAAATTCATCTTAAACCTTATTGCTCATCAGCCAAAGGCTAATTATTTTCATATCGTATCGATTTCACGTTGCATTATAGCCCTTATCCAATATGTTTCATTTAAGCTACATAAGTTATTTTGATTTTCAACGAGCCACGACTGTTATCCAATTTGAAGTCTAATTTTTAGCTATCTTCCTTCAGGTACTTGTCTTCACGTATTATTTGGTTTATCGGATTGAGGCAACTGCCAATTCGCAACAAATAATTATTTAAAGTAAGTTTTGGATATTCATACCAAACTAACATCTCTCAGTTTATTAACAATATATTATCAAATGGTTGTTTTTTACCATGAGCGTCTAACACCTCTGTCAAATTGTAACAAAACTACGCTATCACTTCTAGTATTTAACAGCAAGTCAATTGGGAAGACAAACGGGCCATAAAACTTTGAACATTAATTACCTCGTACACAAACCAATTACAAACAATTCTTAACCCAAAGCAAAAAGAATTACACTAACAAGGGTTTATCAACAAACGCTACACATTGAATAAGACAAACCTTAGAGGGACATAGGGTACGCGCTACTGAAAAACTGCAAGGTTCGTCTTCTCACGCATTGAGACAACCACGTTTATGAGCTCTTTTTCCACAAACTGCCAAATCGGGGATGGATTGCACAGTGCATGCCAGAAATTCCAAAAATTCATATTTCTTTCTGCACTTACAGCTGACTGACCAGAACCCCAAAGACAAATCAAGGATTTTCCTACAAACGAACACAGTAATTACAGGCGTTGTCGTTTTTAGGAAGAATGGGTTAGTGATATGTTTGAGTTTGCTGTTTTAGTTGTTCCCAGACCCAGTTGTTGTCTGTCCTTTCGTTGAATAATTATGCGCACATATTCAAAAAAGAGGCGGAAAAGCAATCAAAACGGCCAAAGATATGTGCGCTTTTATTACTGGAACATAATCCGACGAGGTCTGGCGAATCCTTGGAAGGTGAAAAGCGATCTAGTGGCTTTGTGGTGGGTTGCAGAGGTCAGGCGCGAACGCAAGTTCTCGGAGGAAGGGAGGAAGCGAAAATTACCCTCTGATTTCCCAACAGAAACAATTCTCCATCAAGACCATCCAACATTATTGTTGAATTGGAATCAGAAGGACTTCAAGGCATTCAGATGGTTTTATTATCACCACTTAAGATGTTCGAAACATAGGGCCCCGGCACATTTCCGCTCCTAGTGACCCTCGCGCTCTTGGGTGAGGCGGCATTTTTCCCCCTCCGTCCACCGCCGCGCTCCCTGCCTTGTATACCGTCCGGCCGTCCGCCTCCGCTCCGCCGCCGCCGGCCAGCCCCCTTTGCCGCCCGCCCTCTTGGCCCGTCGGTGCGCGTCTTTCTCGGAATTGGCAGATGCGCCGAGGTCGCCAATCCACAAAAGGCGGAAACACGCGTTTTTGGGGGGGAACACCACTCTAATAACCTCACCGCCGCATCTCACGCATCAGACAATGGGATTCGCGGTGATTTAGCAGTACCCCCACACCCGAAACCTACTCTCAGGAATAAGTATATTGGGAAAACCTTCCGAATCAAATTGCAGGTGTATCTCACCCATGATAATTTGGTGCAAGAACACCCGATGACTCTTGTTCGTATAGGTGCGTCAGCGGCCTACCAGGAGAATAATAGCGGATCTTTTATCGCAAATTACAGTTACAAGACGATTTTGAGAAGACACGAGAAAACGAGGTAAAAGAATTGGAATGAAAACAAACATCCATCAAAGTAACTGGCAAGGGGACACTAGTGTCAAGCATCTATTACGGAGTGGAAAGATGGATAATTGATTTTCAATTACTCTGAAGGGGCTCGCAGATAGCGGTCCGAAAAGTTGGTTTTTTCTCTATTCGGTTTTATAAGTTTGAGCTCGAGCTATTTTTATGTAACCCATTCAGATTACTTTATATAGCTGTAATTGGGGCCTGAGGTTATCTCCTATAAACCTGTGTTTTAAGTTGAGTATCGCGAGTCCATTCAGAAAGCAATTAAAACGACCTCTTCTAAAGGAGATAAGGAACTCGGATGTAGTTATTTTACATTAGCCCGGAAAACGGGGAGGGGGCTACACTGAAATCAAAGTAACTATGGATTTATCGGGGACTTGTACTTTGGGTAAATTGCTAGGATAGTTTGTAAAGTCATTTCTGAAGCCCGACACTGAGTAAAAAGCTAAGAAAGTAATCTACTAGAAGGATGCTAAGATTATCGCAGAGGAAAAAGGGAAACCCAAATAATGGAAACAATCAAATATGGTCCATCATCGGTTCCAAAACGCGAAATGCCTGAAAAAATATCTTCCAGGAACGGCCGTGGTCACTGGTAATAGAGACATGGCTTGATGCACTGCTTTCGTTCGCGGTGTCCTTCCCGCGGCGGGAGCTGGCAGGTGCGACTTTCAGTGATACACTAATTTAGTTTCATTGGAGGACAAGAATGTCTTTTTATGAATCCATCGCCTTTTTGAGATTAACCTACGGTCTTTTAGTTCCTATTGTCTACACCCTTACTCCTGTGGAGCGTTTTTTGCCTGTCCGTCTCATTTTTAAATCTGCCGTTGAAGAAAGAGGATCACTGACTCCGGCTGCCGGCTAACTGTTCAAGCCTGCAATAAAACTACCTAAAACCTGACACCAGGAAGAACAAAAAAGTAATACTTTCACAAAACAGCACCCACGCCCAAATTTATTCGAGGCTCCCCGATGTTTGAAAAAAAATTTATAAAATTCAACAGGACCCGAATCAAGTAAATTATAGCACTTGTCAATACAAAACTAGCGAAGCAGTAACACCGTTTACTCTCCGTGTTATCGCTCATATTCCCACGGGGCAGTATTTCAGGTACCCCCAGGAAGGCTTTCGAGATTTTTTCATTGGCAATAGGAGTTGTTGGTACTAGTATATCAACTTTCTAAACTCAACGTTCAATAAATGTTAATTCCTTCAATTTGTAACAATTCTCGCTTTTTTATTTCCCTTATTTTCTATTCATTATTGATCATTTTAATTCTGTTAATTTCTTAAAGGCACACACAAATCCTTTATTTTTGCAAAAACCTAAAATACTGCATCTAGCGTAAAGTATAAATCGCAGATTAATAATAAATTGGGCGGGTTTTGTGACACCGTGGAGCCTGGACGCCCAACTCACCTTTTATGTCCTCTCGCGCCTATCGAAAAGAAACTCCTGCGCTCCGAAAATGGCTTACGAAACATGAGAAAATTCGCTTACAAATAAACCTTAACGGTCATAGTAGATTTTTTTCTCTCATCATCTGGGTTCTAGCTCAAGGTTCGTGTTTTGTCTATTGTTACACTTTTAGATATCTTCCATATAATATCTTGGAAACTGTTCATTACGTTTTTGCATCAAGTTATTAGAGTTGTTTTTTAGGGCACGTAACATTTCCCTTGGCAGTAATGAACGGGGCCCCTCAACAAGGCCCTCAACGCTGCATTAAATTCGTTGGCGGGCGCCGGAAAGTCAGCCTGGCGTGCGGTTGCGCCCACTCCGCAACAAAGGACTCCGGGGGGCGCCTCTTTGTCCGCCCTGCAGCCCTAGCCGGGCCCCGCCCCCCGTCGGAAACCCACCCTAACCGACCCCCGCATTCTCGACCTTTTCCAAGTACTCCGCCCTCTTTCCGCGCCCCCGCCTTCCCCGGCCACCCTCCGCCCCCCTCACGGGCCCCGTTTGGGCCCCGTCCAACCCTCTCCGCCCCTGATGGTGGCCCCTCCGCCTCCGCCCCCTTCCGAGCCCTCCAACCGGCCCCCCTACCCATCCTGCAGCCCCCTATCCGCCCACGACTCTCGGGCCCCCTCCACCGTCCCACCCTCGCCCCCTTACCGGAGCCCTCCACGCCCCCCCTCCGGGACCCCTACCGCCCACAGTCCGGGCCCCTCCGCCCCACCTCATATTCTCGCGCCACCTGTGGCCCCCGGCCCCCTCCGCCCCTCCGGGCCCCTCCGCCCCCCTACCACCACCGCCGCCACCACCCCCATTCCTAACGATGACCCAGGCACCCCCTCGTCCCGGCCCGCTTCGCCCCCTCTCCGCCCTCCGCCTCTCCGCCCCCCTCCGGGCCCCCTCCGCCACCGTCCGGGCCCCCTCCGCCCCCCCTCCGCCCCCTCGGCCCCTCCGCCCCTCCGCCCCCCACTTCCGGGCCCGCGTCCGCCCCCCCTCCGCCCCTCTCGCCCCCTAAACCGGGCCCCCCCTCCGGGCCCTCCGCCCCCCCATCCCCGGGCGCTCCGCCCGCATAACCCCAGCAAGTGAGCGGCCAGAAGGACCACGCAAGGCGGGCGCGCGTGGGGGCCGTATGCAGATTTTTCTGCAGGCCATTCGATAATAATCAGATGGGAATCTTGCTACGTAATTTCGCGCAATGTGGTTACGAAATTTCGGCACTTCATCTTAATGAGATGAGTTAGAAATTGCTGAAAACGACGAGGCGACGGCACTAGTTCTAGGAGGCGGGTGCTGGGTAGGGCGACAAACCCGGGAAAAATATTCCCCCTCCTCGAAAAACAATCCAAATAAAAACTAGTGTTGCCACAGAATGGCACAGACTTGCCCCTATTAGTTTTCTATTTCCTTTGGTCTCAGCTAGCTATTCAGACTTGCTCTTCTCTGCTGCCATCTATCGTCACCCCAAGTGCATTCTTTTGCAAGTGAAA